CACCATCATCATCATCATCACCATCATCATCATCATCACCACCAACATCATCATCATCATCACCACCATCATCATCATCATCATCATCGTCATCACCACAATCATCATCATCATCACACCACCAACATCATCATCATCATCACCATCATCATCATCACCATCATCATCATCATCATCATCACCACCAACATCATCATCATCACCACCATCATCACCACCATCATCATCATCACCATCATCATCATCACCACTCATCATCATCACCATCATCATCATCACCATCATCATCATCACCATCATCATCATCATCACCACCAACATCATCATCATCACCACCATCATCATCATCATCATCGTCATCACCACAATCATCATCATCGTCACCATCAACATCATCATCGTCATCACCACCACCATCATCATCGTCATCACCACCATCATCATCATCATCGTCATCACCAACATCATCATCGTCACCATCATCATCACCACCATCATCATCATCATCGTCATCACCAACATCATCACCACCACCATCATCATCATCGTCACCATTACCATCACCTGCAGGTCCCTCGTCTAGTGACATCAATTAAGCGAGCCAGCTGCAAGGTGTCCTCCCTCACATATCTTATATGATGTTAATTATAGCCGAGTACACTTATCAGTCCACGATAGTCACATTGCACGTCGGTCACAACCGGACGGGTCGGTCACAACCCCACCCGGACGAGCGGTCACAACCCACCCGGACGAGTCACAACCCCACCCGGACGGGTCGGTCACAACCCGGACGGTTACAACCCGGACGGGTCGGTCACAACCCGGACGGGTCGGTCACAACACCACCCGGACGGGTCGGTCACAACCCCACCCGGACGGGTCGGTCACAACCCGGACGAGTCGGTCACAACCCCACCCGGACGAAAGGTCACTGAGTGGACGAAAAGGCTACAGGACAAAATAGCAAAACTATTATATTCAAGACAAAATTATCCTAGATTACGTTTCTTTGTGTGTGTGTGTGTGTGTGTAGGACCTCCACACGTTTCTCTTGGGTCCGACGTACACAAAAGGTGGAAAAGGTCCCGAGAAGCGACAGTAATGAAGGTATTTCACGGCCTTCTGTGCTCTCCCCCTATCATTGTTGACATCCTCCTGCCCTTAGCCCTTACTCTTGCCCCAATCCTTAACCCTAACTCTCCTGCCCCAACCCTTACTCTTGCCCCCAACCCTTACTCCTACCCTAAGCCCTTACTCCAGTCCTAAGCCCTTACTCCAGCCCTTACCCCTGCCCCCAGCCTTTACCTCCCCCAAGCCCTTACTCCAGCCCTTAACCCTACCCCTGCCCCCAGCCTTTACCCTCCCTAAGCCCTTACTCCTGCCCTTAACCCTACCTGCCCCCAGCCTTTACCTCCCTAAGCCCCACTCCCAGCCTTTAACCCTTACCCCAGCCTTTACCCTCCCCAAGCCCTACCCAGCCCTAACCCTACCTCCTGCCCCCAGCCTTACCTCCCTAAGCCCTTACCTGCCCTAACCCCACCCCTGCCCCCAGCTCCTTTACTCCCTCCCTAAGCCCTACTCCTGCCCTTAACCCTTACCCCTGCCCCCAGCCTTTACCCTCCCTAAGCCCTTACTCCCTGCCCTTAACCCTTACCCCAGCCTTTACTTCCCCACTCCAGCCCCTTAACCCTTACCCCTGCCCCAGCCTTTACCTCCCCAAGCCCTTACTCCTGCCTCTAACCCTACCCCTGCCCCCAGCCTTTACTCCTCCCTAAGCCCTTACCCTGCCCCTTAACCTACCCCTGCCCCCAGCCTTTACTCCCTCCCCAAGCCCTTACTCCTGCCCTAACCCCACCCCTGCCCCCAGCCTTTACTCCCTCCCTAAGCCCTTACTCCTGCCCTTAACCCTACCCCTGCCCCCAGCCTTACCCCTCCCTAAGCCCTTACTCCAGCCCTTAACCCTACCCTGCCCCCAGCCTTTACCCTCCCCTAAGCCCTTACCCAGCCCTAACCCTACCCCTGCCCCCAGCCTTTACCTCCCAAGCCTTTTACTCCCTCCCTAAGCCCTTACTCTCCCCAGCTGCCGCCCTCTTCTGCTGTAGTACCCAGGGAGCGACGCCAAGGAGCAGGCAGGATTACAACCTGACCACCATCTGCGACGGTAACGTGGTGAGGGCCGAACCATCCTCCATCCTCCCTGTGGCCATTCAGACCATCCTCCTCTATCCTGCCAGTAACCGGCCGAACCATCCTCCATCCTCCCTGTATTCAGACCATCCTCCTCTATCCTGCCAGTGACCGGCCGAACCATCCTCCATCCTCCCTGCCATTCAGACCATCCTCCTCTATCCTGCCAGTGACCGAACCATCTCCATCCTCCTCTGTGGCCATTCAGACCATCCTCCTCTATCCTGCCAGTGACCGGCCGAACCATCCTCCATCCTCCCTGTGGCCATTCAGACCATCCTCCCCATCCTGCCAGTGACCGGCCGAACCATCCTCCATCCTCCTTGTGGCCATTCAGACCATCCTCTATCCTGCCAGTGACTGGCCAGACCATCCTCCACCACTATAGGCGTCGAAAGAATGGTGTGAAGGACTCGTAGGATTACCATACACCCGGGCCGGTGACCCAGATCCTCCCTGATGCTGTAAGTGGACGGTCAGAGGCTTGAGTTCGCCTCCCGTCGCTGCTAGTTAACAAAACTGAATTTCCAGCGTCCAGGAGAGAGAGAGAGAGAGAGAGAGAGAGAGAGAGAGGGGGGGTTGACTGGACTGCCTATTGTGAAAGGACTGGAGCCATTACACTGTCTCTGTACACAATGGTCGGGGATAAGGCCTATACCTGAGTGTGTGTGTGTGTGTGTGTGTGTGTGTGTGTGTGTGTGTGTGTGTGTGTGTGTGTTCTCTACCCCCTTCTTCTTCTCCTCCATATACCCTTCCTTCTACCTCCACCTATTCCTCTGCGTCTCTTCTTCCTCCCCCATTTCTCCTTCTCTTTTTTTCTTCCTCTACTCTTCCTCCCCCACGCCCCCAATTAGAGCTTGTAGCACTATCCTGCTCCTAGACTCACCATAAAGGCCACAATCCCCAACAAGAGAGGGTGAAGATGACCTCTACAGCAGTGTGTTAGGGTAGGGGTAGGGTAGGGTAGGGTAGGTTAGGTAGGGTAGGTAGGTAGGGTAGGTTAGGTTAGGTTAGGGTAGGGTAAGTTAGGGTAGGGTTAAGTTAGGTTGGGGTAGGGTAGGATAGGTTAGGTTAGGTTAGGTTAAGTTAGGTTAGGGTAGGTTAGGTTAGGTTAGGGTAGGATAGGTTAGGCTAGGGTATAGGGTAGGGTAGGTTAGTCCAGGTCAAGTTAGTGTATGGTATCTAATCATCACGTGAAACAAGCTGGTTTGCTTAATATTCAAATGATTCGAAAATTCAAACTAGAAACCTTTGAGAATACATCTTAGAACCACAACTTAAGGGGACAAGTCTGAACCTAACCTAACCTAACATAACCTAACCTAAACTAAACTAACCTAACCTAACCTAAACTAAACTAAAGAGGCCGATACGGGACCCGCAGGGTCGTTCACAGATGTTGCACATGTGGTGGGCTATATCTACAGGACGGGCGGCGGCAGCGTCTTTCCCGCGTTGGCGCTTGTTTGCCTCGGTTTGCAGTTAGGCTAACTCGAAAGTATTGACACCTTCACGGTGTGTAGTAATCGTCTCCCAGGTGAGGGGGTCGATTTGGCACCTTTTCAGGTCTGTCTTAAGACTATCCTTATACCTTTTCAGTTCTGCCTGCGTTACGTTTACTATTCGTTAGGTGACTGTAAAGTAGCTGCTTTGGCAGTCTACTGTCGTCCATGCAGGTAACATGGCCAGCGAGAATACTGGATGAACGCTCTCACTCACTCGTCCGGTAAATTCGTGTAATAAAAGTATTTACGATAAAAACTGTTTTTCAATTTGAATAAAACGAATAAGTGGCCATATTAGTATTATTATTATTATCATATATTATTATATTATTATTTTATTATTATTATTATTATTATAATTATTGTCATTATTAAAAAAATATTATTATGATTATTATTACAGCGACCAAAAATACCCAAGAATCCAACACCAACACACTAATTCACCTTACTTATACTTATCCCTGGCATCTATAACCTGGAGGCCCGCCATCAAGATAGCATTGACGGAGTGACAGTAGGTTCTAAACACTCTCATTAGTCAGTCTTTGTGGCCCAAACAAGTGAGCATCGCCAAACATCACCAAAGTTACTGATCAACCCGATGGACAATTGAATTGAAAGAAAAATTGAACGATTTGGGACGGATAGAATGGATATAGATAGAAGGATTCGAATTCCCTTTCAACTATATGTGATTGAATAAGAGCGGTTTGAGGGGGATGGTACAGGGAGATAGGGGGATTCCGATTCTCCTCCAACCATATGTGAGCTGAATAAAAGCTTTGAACAGGACGATGGAACTTAGATAAGGAGTTGAAGACTATTGGTTGTGATCCTCTGTTGAGATAAACTGCTGGATGATCGTGTTGTTGGTAGACTTAGGTGGAAATCTTTTTTCGTATTGTCTCTCACAGCGCCGTCATATTGAATAAACAAAAGAAGATCGCGTCTATAATTCGGTATAGCTACTAAATCCTTGTAAAGGCCAGGAAGCCAGCCCTGAACCCTTATACTCAGAAAATCTCTTCATTCCCATCTCTTATTTTCAAAGCATCTATTATGCCCTTAAAAACCCTTATATTCATACCATTTATTGTTTACATCATCTGTTATCAATCCCTATGGCGGCCATATTGAAGCAAAAAAATAATGATCGCAGCGAGGAGCGTATCGGCCCCACCAGTGACGCCAGAATTAAGAAAATACACAATTCGCTGTAACTGGTGGGGAAAAACGGCAACTCACGTCCTATAATGTGGCAGGGTGATGGGGGGAAGGAAAATAAGCCTTATGGAAACTTACCCCAAAGCAGTCAGAATTATGGTGACAGCTGGCGTCGTCTTGGGTGGATATGTCCCTCTCGAACTGAAACCAGAAGAGTAGAAAATTAAGGTAAAAAAATGTCATAAATGTTGAAGATTTATAATACCGAGTGGTGTGTGTGTGTGTGTGTGTGTGTGTGTGTTTACAAGAAGAAGAACAAGAAGAACAAGAAGAAGAACAAGAAGAAGAACAAGAACAAGAAGAAGAACAAGAAGAAACAAAGAACAAGAAGAACAAGAAGAACAAGAAGAAGAACAAGAAGAAGAAGAACAAAAGAAGAAGAAGAAGAAGAAGAAGGAGAAGAAGAAGAAGGAGGAGAAGAAGAAGGAGAAGGTCCATTCCTTAGTCAAACTTGGGTGTCACTAAAGTGTGTTTGAGAAACCTTACCACATCCATGCTAAGTTTTTTCCATTTAGGGCTCTACGGTACAGGGTTATGGACCTTAAATCACCATCTCCTAGGGATCACTCTCCTCTAACACGCCCTTATGGGTTGTATTGACACTAGGATAGCTTTATGTTGCCGCCGACACTCGCTCAGGATGGATGGATAGATGGGTGGAGGGTGGATGGTGGAGAGTTACGCCTCATCCCCAACAAGGTGTGTGTGTGTGTGTGTGTTTCTAAGAATTTTAATGTATGTAATATAGAGATATATCTTGAAGACGTTTTGATGGAGATGATGGTACTGAGGTACACACACACACACACACACACACACACACACACACAGCGGGAGTGCCGAGGAACAGCTTGGGAGTGTGTGTTTGCTTGTGGGTTGTTGCCTGTGTGTTTTCAGTGTAAACTATACCTGTTGACTCCTCACCATTCCTTAGTTTACAAAAACACGAAATAGCTGATGACCGTGTTGGCTAAACACCTGTGGTCACCATACACTATTGAGCCGAGGACTGTGTTGACCAAACACCTGTGGTACTAATTACTGAGCGAGGACTGTGTTGACCAAACACCTGTGGTCACCACACTACTGAGTTGAGGACTGTGTTGACCAAACACCGTGGTCACACTATCTGGAAGCGGAGGACTGTGTTGACCAAACACCTGTGGTCACCACACACTACGAGCCGAGGACTGTGTTACCAAACACCTGTGGTCACCACACTACTGAGCCGAGGACTGTGTTGACCAAACACCTGTGGTCACCAACTACTGAGCGAGGACTGTGTTGACCAAACACCTGGTCACACACTACTGAGCGAGGACTGTGTTGACCAAACACCTGTGGTCACCACACTACTGAGACGAGGACTGTGTTGACCAAACACCTGTGGTCACCACACTATTCTGAGTTGAACGTAGTTGACCAAACACCTGTGGTTCACCACACTGGAGACGAGGACTGTGTTGACCAAACACCTGTGGTCACCACACTAGGGAGTTGAGGACTGTGTGACCAAACACCTGTGGTCACCACACTATTGAAGGAGGACCAAACACCTGTGGTCACCACACTACTGAGCCGGAGGACTGTGTTGACCAAACACCTGTGGTCACCACACTACTGAGCCGAGGACTGTGTTGACTAAACACCTGTGGTCACCACACTACTGAGCAGGACTGTAGGGACCAAACACCTGTGTCACCACACCAGTGAGAGAGGACTGTGTTGACCAAACACCTGTGTCACATCATTGAGCCGAGGATGTGTTGACCAAACACCTGTGGTCACCACACTACTGAGTCGAGGACTGTGTTGACCAAACACCTGTGGTCACCACACCATTGAGTTGAGGACTGTGTTGAAAACACCTGTGCACACTAGTGAGCCGAGGATCTGTTTGACCAAACACCTGTGGTCACCACACATTGGCTGAGGACTGTGTTGACCAAACACCTGGTCACCACACTAGTGAGCCAGGACTGTGTTGACCAAACACCTGGTCACCACACTACTGAGAATCGTTGACCAAACACCTGTGGTCACCACACTAGTGAGACGAGGACTGTGTTGACCAAACACCTGTGGTCACACTAGTGAGACGAGGACTGTGTTCAAACACCTGTGGTCACCACACTATGAGACGAGGACTGTGTTGACCAAACACCTGTGGTCACCACACTACTGAGACAGAGGACTGTGTTGACCAAACACCTGTGGTCACCACACTAGTGAGGAGGACTGTGTTGACCAAACACCTGGGTCACCACACTACTGAGCGGAGGACTGTGTTGACCAAACACCTGTGGTCACCACACTAGTGAGACGAGGACTGTGTTGACCAAACACCTGTGGTCACCACACTAGTTGGAGGACTGTGTTGACCAAACACCTGTGGTCACCACACTACTGAGACGAGGACTGTGTTGACCAAACACCTGGTCACCACACTGAGTGAGGAGGACTGTGTTGACCAAACACCTGTGGTCACCTAGGAGACGAGGACTGTGGGACTAAACACCTGTGGCTCACACTACTGGAGACGAGGACTGTGTGACCAACCACACTGTGGTCACCACACTAGTGAGACAGGACTGTGTTGACCAAACACCTGTGGTCACCACACGAGACGAGGACTGTGTTGACCAAACACCTGTGGTCACCACACTACTGGCCAGGAGGACTGTGTGACCAAACACCTGGTCACCACACTAGTGAGACGAGACTGTGGATCAAACACCTGTGGTCACCACACTACTGAGCTGAGGACTGTGTTGACCAAACACCTGTGGTCACACTGAGAGCGAGGACTGTGTTGACCAAACACCTGTGGTCACCACACTGGTGAGGAGGACTGTGTTGACCAAACACCTGTGGTCACCACACTACTGAGCTGAGGACTGTGTTGACCAAACACCTGTGGTCACCACACACTGAGCGAGGACGTGTTGACCAAACACCTGTGGTCACCACACTAGTGAGCCGAGGACTGTTACAAACACCTGTGGTCACCACACTACTGAGCCGAGGACTGTGTTGACCAAACACCTGTGGTCACCACACTAGTGAGACGAGGACTGTGTTGACCAAACACCTGTAGTCACCACTACTGAGCCGGAGGACTGTGTTGACCAAACACCTGTGGTCACCTAACTACTGAGCCGAGGACTGTGTTGACCAAACACCTGTGGTCACCACACTAGGGCTCAGGGCTAAGGGAGGATAAAGGTGTAGTCACTTAACATCACTATACAGGTGAGTTTTAAAAGGTAAATAATTAAATTTTACTATCAATTTACCTGTTGTTGAGGTACTTATGAACTTCAGTCTACAAACAGCCACAAACACATATAAACACTAACAATGAAATATACCTTAACATAATACAAAATTAACTCCTTCACACACACACACACACACACACACACACACACACACACACACACACACACACACACACCAGCCAAGTAAGAGAATAATCTGACCATCACACTCGTCAAGTTACTCTGACTGACTGCTGTCGACATTAAGTAGTTGTCTGGCCGTAAGGAACTGCACACAACCGAGTATAAATTAAACACACACACACACACACACACACACACACACAGGTACCCAGTGCGTGTAGGAGGATGGCTCAGTACTTACGAATGTTGAATACTTACTTAAACCTAATCAACTTAACGACCTAACCTAACGTAATAACCTAACCTAACGTAATTTAACCTAACCCTAATTTAACGAGCCAATCGTTTCAATTCTTTAACCTAAACCTACTCCTCAAGGTAACATTAGGTTGATTAACTATAAGGTGAAATAAGCTGGGGGGGCTAATGTTCAGGTGGTCCATTTGAGTTTTTCAATAAATACTGACGTAGACTGTTGTTTAACTTATCACGTGGTGTTAAGGGTTCACAGTTAAAATAGCCCATTGATACACTGTTCACACACACACACACACACACACACACACACACACGTATCAGGACCTCTTAATAAACAAGTATAACACGGGTATATTGCCTCCCCTTCACGTGTTTCCATCAGGTCAGACTATCAGGGTTAAGTAGTGGAGATGAGGCCCGTGTCAGCAGGAGAGGACGCCGCTCCTGCCTATACCAGCTGACGTCCAACAACTTGTGTGTGTGTGTGTGTGTGTGTGTGTGTGACAGTAGTCGTCGAGTAGGACAAGATTTATGTTCTGGTCGGTCTGGTCTCCTCCTTCTGCTTCTCCTACCCTCCCTCTTCTATCATTCTCCTGCTTCTCCCACCTTCCTTCCTCTCTCCTGCTTCTCCTTTTCCTCTCCCTTCTCTTTCTGCGACTTCTCCTACTCCTATTCTCCTCTTACCCCTCCTCTTCTTCTCCGCCTTCTTCAGTAGTTTACGTCAGGTTATCGCTTCAAGGATCACCTCCACCCCAGTAAGTCCTTTACAGCTGTGTTCGTCTTGTTGATACACATAAAGAGAACGTCTTTTTGCAGGACAGTGAGAGTTCTCCTGGGTCAGTCTCTCTCACCCCCACCTACGTTCTCCTTGGGTATCTCTCTCACCCCCACCTACGTTCCTGGGCTATCCACCCCACCCATCCCGTATGGCAAGAACTGCGCCTTCATTTAGATGAGAATGTTGATACTGTCTGGCACTGTGTGTGTGTGTGTGTGTGTGTGTGTGTGTGTGTGTGTGTGTGTGTGTGTGTGTGTGTGTGTGTGTGTCTGTGTGTGTGTACATCACAGTTGGGGCACTGTGGGCTCGTGTGATGGAGGAGTCCAATGCGGGGGTGACACCAATCTAGTGTAGGAGTGAATCAAGTCCAGTGTGGGGGATAGGAGGGGTTACACCAGTCCAGTGTTGGGAGGAGGGAGGTTAGACCAGTCCAGTCCCACATTACCCAGGATCCATCAATTAATTTAAGGTCCCAATGAGTGAGTGGAGCCAATACAGGTGTCTCCAGAGGCATCACTGGCACACACAATGAGAGACCCGCCAGCCCTAACAAGAGGCTCACCCTGCCGCAACCACCTCCTGACCCAACAACATTAGCATATAAGCTGTTTATAAGACATGTATACATCCGTGTGTGTGTGTGTGTGTGTGTGTGTGTGTGTGTGTGTGTGTGTGTGTGTGTGTGTGTGTGTGTCCTGTCA